ATGCCAAGGGCAATCGAACCTCTCTCCACCCAACCTCCATCCACCTTTTTCCCGGCCTCCGGGACTTCTTGGAGCCGAGTTATGAATTTTCGTCGCAAACTCCGCCCACTTTGGTCAAGCCCCGCCCACCGATGACAGTTGGCCTCCACTCCTCCACCCACCTCTATCCACCTTTTTCCCGATCTCCGGGACTTCTTGGGGCCGAGTTATGGATTTTCGTCGCAAACCCCGCCCACTTTGGTCAGTGCCCCGCCCACCGATGACAGATGGCTCCACTCTTCCACCCACCTCCATCCACCTTTTTCCGGCTCATCTAGACTTCCCCGGCCCGAATTATGTGGACTTGTAGAAAACGCTGTACTCTTCAGCGCACGCCCACCACTATAGGCGAGGCCTCCGCCCACGTCATGTATATGCTGGGAACACCTTAGACATTGCTCCCTACACCAATTTGTTTTCTGCTCTGTAGGCTTTCTCCCAACCGAGTTATCAATCCTTTTGTTAAGCACTGCTTTTTTGGAGAACGCCCCGCCCACCGGGGGTGGCTCTCTCTGATTCGATCAGACTTACCAATACACACCTTACCCTACTTTTCTTCCCAGTTTCGAGGCTGTTTTCTAAGAGAATTGAAAATCTCGGTCGTCAGTACACTTCATTTCGACGCACGCCACGCCCACTGTGGGCGGGGCTCCGCTTAGATGATGTGTCTTTTATGATTCTCGAGATCTGGGCCACCCAACCCACACTTGCCCCGTTCTCTAAAGGTGAATCCCCAGGAGCTAGGGAATTTTGTGACAGACATAGAGACGGCAGACGACAGACGACAGACGACAGACGACAGACAGACGACAGACGAAGCGCTTTATAGTAAGTAGGATCACAATCCGCTCTTCCTTGCCAAAATTAATTAAGCTTAACCTATCTGTTCGCTGGTTATACTGTAGTTCTAGATGCGAGAAACTCGACGAACTAGTTCCACCATCTTGTTAGGTTTCGTAACATTTCTCTTTCGAGAGGCTATCCACAAACTGGTCTGGGCGACGCACGACCCAAGATTTGATCACCGGACCGCGCGCGTGGTAAGCAGCGCCACTTGCCTCTACACCACTTCCACCCTCCCTACATTACGTATTTAACTTCTGACGAAAACTGGTCGTTTTCATGAGCAAAGAAGATAGAAGAATGGCAGACTTATCTTCGAAACCTGGATTTTTATGGCAACCCCTATTCGATTTTAACGCACTTGTACTCCTTGTGGCCTAAAACGATGATTAGGTCACGCTTAATTCAGTAGAAGACGAAGAACATCTGGCTACGTGCCCACCTCTTCGATTCCGCAGCCCTTCCTGCGATAAACCTACGCTTCTCGGAGACTTGCGCAGGCAGGACGCATGCGGTCAGCGTTATCCAACGCGCTGTCGAGAGGACGATGCTAGGAGTAACCCTATACACGCAAGTGCAGAGGGGAATCCGGAGTTCCGAACTACGCCAACGATCGAAGATCAGGGACGCTGCCGTTTTCGCCAAGGAATCGAAGATAAGGTGGGCCGGACACGTTGCGGCGATGACCGTTGGACCAGAGCGGTTACCGACTGGATCCCTCGGGACGTCAAACGAACACCTGGACGACCGCCGGCCCGATGGTCAGACTTCTTCACGAAAACGGTGAAAGGCTTCGTTGCTGGCGCCCGCTCGAACAGTTCGATGATCAACGGGACGACAGGTGACAGGCGAATTCAACAGCGGCGTTGTCAACAGATCAAGCGCATTGCTCCTACGGAATCCTTCATCCATTTTTTTACAAACGTTTAAAGTCTAGCGATCGCCCTCACCACCTTCGAGGCTCTTGCATCCCTACGCAAGGTCTTGAAA